CTTAAACTGCTAACATTCCACGCTCGCCCTTATTATATCTTGCATACATACACATTGTAATCCTTCCTTTAACCCCTTAGCGATATTTTCGCTTTCGCCGTTTTAACTTTATAGATTTCGTATTAGTAACTTCGTTTATTTTTAATTTTCTTATTATTTTATTATTCAATTTTTCTTTATTGTTCGTAATTGCGTAGTTATTAATTAGAATTAATTGATTGGCATTTACTTAGTTTATATATTGACATTGCGAAATTTAGAGCGCCGACGTTGCAACACTGATTAATTTGATATTATTACTTCATTTTTATTCAATAAAAACCTTCTGCTTACAAAATTGTTTATAATTACATAAACGAAAGAACTGAACTATCTTCAAAAATTCTTACAATTGATTCAAGATGCAGAATGATGTACCTCAATAAATGATTCAAAAGCTAATAAATAAATAATAAGTAAATAAGGTGTAATAATCATTTGAGGATAAACTAAAGATTCTTTTTAAAATGATTCTAAAAAAAATGAAAATTACATAAACCGAAAAATGAAGCACTTCCGAGATTTAACAATTGAAAAATGTTGATTAATCAATCTACTTTTTAACTCGGTCATCTCATCTCTACAATTCACACAGAAACGTGCGAAAATTACAAAGTGTAATCATAAGCGAAAATCAAACTGGTAAAGAATTTTAAGATACGTGTAACAAAAATTGGAGTATATCTTTTTTTTTTGTACCGGTCTATAATTTAAAAGGAATCCCTTTCAATCTTTTTTATTCAGAAAAATCCAACTCTTTCTACCTCGAAATCAAAATTAAAAAATAGTCGTTTTTAAATAGGTCAATTCGCCATAAACTTAGTGTTAGTTCACGAAATAAGGTTGATTCCACTTTTATTAATAACGTTACGAAATAGAATTTGACCTTAAAGAAAAAGTCCACCATATCGATTAAATTATGACTCTGATCCTCTAAAAGTTTCCAAGGATGGCTTTGAAAAACAATAGACAATTCGTTATTATAGCTGTAGAAGGATACGAAATTCATAGTATTGTGATATCAGGATTCTTGTTCCTAAATGCATTGTAATATCCGATTTATAACAAGGTTAAGGCAACGACGTTTCAAAGTGATAATAAAATTTACAATCAATGGGTCTCAAAAAATTATTAATGTTAATTTCCTAAAATCAAAGTGCGTTTAACACGAGCAAATTGTAAGGCAAATTGTTGAGCAAAAATTTAAAATGAAATTGTTGAAAACTAAAATTTTGAATCTCACTGAACGTCTATCAATTTGATGACTCACTTCATGCTTCACTTTAGAGGTTGGAACCGGTTAAAACGGTTAACATGTTAACCGGTTAAAGATTTTTTTTAACCGGTTAAAATAGATGAATTTAAATCCGGCCGAAATTCAATTTCCGGCCAGAATTAAGATTTTTATGATTGACAAAATATTGTCTAACTCTGGCCAAATTTATAATACTGGCCAAAGTTAATTTTAACCGGTTAATTAACCGGTTAACAAATATTTTAACCGGTTATTAACGGGTTAAAGAATTTTCGGCCGGTTCCAACCTCTACTTCACTTGTTCTCGTATCTAAATTCATATTAAATACAATTAATACAACCTTTGACCTTATAAACAAAAAATTAAAAACAAAATTAGAACTTTAAAATTTATTAAACGTGCAATAGAGAATTTTGGATATCTTCTCTTATATCCTATTTTGTAGAAGAGTGGGGCAATAATTGTAGGTCTTTCTTTTGTATTTTCTAAATTTCTTAAAACATCTTGTACTTTTTTGCCTTAAACGAGTTAAAAAATCCAATAGTTGACGCTGCAGGAAAATCGTAAAATCAAAAAAACAATTTAGATTTATAGAAATAATTTCAAAAAAAAAAACCATACTATCTTTATTTCAAATATTGTTTCAGATAATAAGAATCTAAAAAAGTGAAAATACCTCCATTCGTTGCCGCAATAAAAAACAGATTTGCTTTTTATTTTCTATCAAGTAACTGGAGCAGTAAATATAATAAATTAATGACGAAAAATACGCTTATGCGGATTGCAACTGAAAATATCGCCTAATAAAAGTTATATTTATCAAATAGCAAACTTGTCCTAATATCGCTAAAATAAAAATACCCTACACTTGCACCAATTGATGACGCAGTATAAACTTTAAATGAAGTATAATTTCCTTAAATAAACTTATATATATAATTTATTAAATTAATTAAAATATAAATTATTAATGTTTATTAAATTGATTATTAAATAAAAATGAATCAAAAAATTTCGAATAAATAAATTATGTTATATAAGAAATTTATATGGAAATAATATGTTTTTTATATTCATAAAAAATGATAAAAATTTGTGTAGTTATATTAAATGAGTTGATGAGGGCAAGATATTTAGTAGACTTACGATTTTTTCGGAAGTACGATACAGCATATATAAATTGAATCTTAAGCTCGATTAACAATAAATTTTGATTTCTTAGAGATTTACACGTGAACTCAAACATTTGACCTGTTATTATTTTACTGTAAATGTTACACAAATTATATACAGTTTTGTTAGGCGAAGTTGTGGCTGAGTTATCGGCGCTGCGTCTAAGGTTATCAAGAATAATTGCAAAAGATTATATCCCTATTGCTACATTGTAAACAACAATAATGCATTTTATTATAATTATTGGTTCTAAACGAATGGTTTCTTTCTGCGATAGAGGCATTGATAATAGGAGGTTTAAAATAATTTATTTAATACATTTTATTTTAAACCTTCAGCCATCACTCGATATATCCTTTTTTTTCTCCGCCAATTTTAAACAAAATATTTATAACCTGGAATTTCCAGGTGATTATAAGGTAACAAAATTGTTTACTCTAAGCAAAAATTTGCCACTTCAAAATTTACAATTCTAATTGTACAAAATATTTTTATTTCAATACGATTTCTCCAATTGATGATTGATTAGATGTATGATTGAATGTATCGGTGAAAATATTTGTAAAACAGGTTTCTTTTTGGAGTTTTGTAAGTGGCGAATTATTAGTTTTTAAGGCTTAAAATTAAATATTTAAATCTCTTAAAAATTGTAACCATTTACTTACGTCAACCTTAGTGTTGTTTTCTTTAACAATTGTCCAAAAAGTTTTATCCATTAATTAAACATTTGCACGCGAGAATCCTATGGCGCCGCCCGACTCGCAAGCAATTGATCAATCAGACCATTGATCAAAATTAGGCTAGGCGTGGCTTGTCTCTGCGGTTCAGCATATGAATAACAAACAAAATAAATAATTCTTTTTAATATGTTTTGAGGCTTATCTTAGCTTAGTTTCACGTTCATATCGTGACTCACCTGTTTTTGCTCATTCGTCAGCTATTACGAACAACATATAAATACGCGTCCTAAAAGCTTGCGATTTCCATAACTCAGATATAAAAATATTATAAACATTGAATTTAAAATCATTATTATAACATCATGAAAAATCTTATTTTAATCCTTTTCATCGCCGTTTTAACCTTCAGCAGTGTCGTTTTTACTGCTCCTACCAAAATGGAAAAAATGAAAACTTGGCGAGAAGACAAATATCATGCGTAAAAAGCCCTTCAGGGGAAATGACATGCACTCCACCGCCGCCAAGCAAATGTACGTCTAGTGGTTGTATTGGATAAGTTGGCAACATATAAAAGCTTTAATGAGGCTCATTTTAATATATTAGTTTCATTTTTTCAACTTTGTTTGTTTGTTTTGTTCCAATTGTTTTCAAATATGTAAATGGGTTTATAGAATTCTACAAATTACCCATTATTTTTTTTTTTTGAACATTATGTTCACTACTGTCTCCTTTTTAAATAATAAAAGAAATTAATCCGGGATTTGATAAATGCGATTTTTTTTTTTATTTGAGTTGTTCACAAATTTTTTAGTTCAGCCAAATTTTATTCGGAAGAAATGTATCGAATCTCTTTTAACTCGGGATTCCTCGTATGTCAACAAATGGTCAAATGCTTTTTAAAAAAAAAAATACTTTTGTTAAACAAATATAAATGTCAAGTCTATGAAATATGAGCATTGAGTCGTCTCTATTACTATCGTTTGAGAAATTACCATTGAGACATAGAAAGTATTGTTATAAACATCTGAAAAAAATACCTCCTCGTTAATTTAACGTTAAAAAATCATATTTAATTGAATTTATTTAAGAAAATTTAAAGATGAAGTCAGGTGACGAACGGTTGAGTAAAAATATAAATGACTGGTAATATTTATTTTGATAGACCGAATTATAAAAGATATTAGAAATGAGAGTGCAGTAAATGACTTCTTAAAGTTCGCTGTAAGTTTTTTGAGAAGTCAAGAGGACTAGACTCGATGGATATTAAAAAAAGAAATTTTTTAAATGACCATAACTTCGAGTTAATGTATTTCTTATTTTCCTTTATTAAACTCTTGGTTTTATCCTAAAACCCTATCTCGAGTTATCTTTCAACACAAGGAAAATACATGATATTTATACAAGTTAAATACTTACAATAAAACATATCTAATATAATATAAATAATAATAATAATAATAATAAATATAAGAAACATAATAACTCTACTAAATAACATATCGGTCAACATCGTTAATGAAGTCGCGTGACTGGCTGCGGACATGGGTCACGACTTCACCATATTAAATCGTAGTTAGAATTAGAACAAAATACATCGCAAGTTACTAATTTATACAAATATTTTTTTACATGTTAATATTTCGTCGAACTTTCCGTCTCTTACGAGCATGTATAACTTCCAAATGCTTGTAAATCTCGTTGTTTATTTGTGAACATATGGGAGGTAAGCTATTAAAATCACCTTACGGATCATATGATTTACTATGTTCGTAACTCGATTTTAATAGCAAACCTCCCATATATTACAAACCAATTATGTATTTTCGTCTCCTGATCCCGATGACTCTGACGATTACTGTGATTGAATCATAGAATATAAGAACGAATCTATGGCATAAAAAGAAATAAAATGAACAACCAATCACTTGCAATATTGCTTCTTCTATCTTCCATACTTTCAGCTTAAAACCTGGCAAAGCATCGCCTCCATCTAAGTCTCCCAAGCACGGTGACGATGAAAGACATTGTTGTTTGAGTTTCGCTTGTAGACCAAGATCTGCTTGTGCTCAATTGATGTACCTGACGCAAAATATGAATCTTTGAATCTTAAATCAAGAGTTTTGTATTTCACTATTTATGTCATCAACCTCCACGACAAGCATAGGGCTGAATGGTTCGCCTCGAAAAGAGGAACCATGCCCTTGAGTCAGATTTCGATAAAAATTTTTTGGCGTAAAGGCAACAAATGGCCTAAGTTAATTTTAACCGGTTAAAGATTTTAGGCCGGTTATTCTTCGGTTTCGGTTACGTATTCTTCGGCGGTAGTGATACCCGCTTCGATTTCGGTATCATAAATCACGTCGGGTAGCGTTTTATACGTCCATTTTGAAGCATTAAATGGATGCGGCCGGTCATAATGCTGCTGCACATCATCGTTGTATTTTCGTTTTCGTTGAATTTTATCAATAATAACGTGAACTAGTCCGGTGTGTCTCTTGAAAAACCTGCAAGGAAAGATATTCTTACTATTAAACTTGCGAAAAAACTATGAAACGTTAACCAAATTTATTATGACTCACTTACCGGTGGCAACAATTTGATTCACGATAACGTGAATGTATTTTTTGGGCGGATTTGACGATAAAAAGCTGGGGAAAAGTAAAAGGTTGAGAAAATATTTAGTATTATTGGCAAATATGACAAAGACGTAAATTTAATCTTATACTTCTATAAAAAAAACTCTTTGAGAGATAACTTACCGGACGGAAGGATTTTGGGACCTAAAGTACTCAAAGTTTCTCATCTTGCCAGTCTTTATTTTATTTAAGTATCGTAAGCTTGCTTTTTCGTTTTGAGTAAAATTAAGTTTATCGATTTCTTTTGCGAACTGTTCTTGCACTAGAAGTAGAAATAGACATGTTTTTGGTAACGACACGAAAAAGTTTTTTTTCTAAGGCGATAACCATGAGAACTAGAAGGACCTAATTTGTAATAATTATCTCATTCTCTTTTAAAAGAGATACGAATGTCACACAGACTAATCTGACTCATGAGTTGAATAAGTTACACAACTGGTTTATGGTTTTCGTAAGTCGCAGCACCTTATATTCTATTGATTTCTTAAATAATTTATTGTCCGAAGCGTAGCGAGGACAGTCAAAACCATGCAATGTCCGTCTGTCTGTCACAAATTAACCAATCAAAATTTAAGATCAGGTGTAACATAAACATGTGCCTTTCATATCGGTTGTTTAAATTTTATATCGCCAGAATTAACGAACTTTTCTTCACGTGATGCCGTTTTAAGTTATACATTTAAGCGATGTAAATTAAAGCTTCGGACGCATAACGGTTCCCGTTCCCTAGTATTATACATATTTATATACGTATTAGTGAATCAAGCTAAATATTAACGCAAGTTAAGATCGATATGACTGGGGAATTTTATGGTTAAATATAAATCCGATTTCAATTTCAAATTAATTTAGCTATTTTTTTCGTCGAATAGTATTTATCGTGTTGATATTTATCTCATCTGTTATGATTGAATTGCTCCGAATTAAAGGCATGAATTTAAGATTTAGAATTCAGTTAAAGTTAAACAATATTCAGGATTAATTTGATACTGAAATATTTTTGATTTTATAAATGTCAGTCGCAACATCCTAAAGAATTGATGTACTCTAATTGTATTTTATATAGTTTAATCACATGCAGTGCAAATAATTTTTTTTTATTAACTTTATTTATTTTATAAATATTTACATTGAAAAGTTTACTCAATTACTTTTAACTTTGCAAGAAAAATCATGTTACGAGTAATTATTATCGTGCTTGCCCATATGATTAAGACGATCTTTTTTTTAATTTTTTTGTGATATCACGAAGCTTATTTAAAAATTAACTATACTATAATATATTTTAAGCTAATAAATAAAACCTTAAGAAATACTTA